AAAATAGCGGAATCTCAACCTTATTCAAGCGAGTAGCATGTTTAGAACCTTATTTTCACTTTCTCTGAATTGACGACTAGATAATGAAAGAAGCTCCGAACAACCTTACTTCGAGAAGACGACCCGAGTGAGATCTTTCGATCGTACTCGGTTAAAAATGAACAAACATATATTCAATATATGTTTTCGTCAACCTGATGCATCTGGTTTTCATAAATATTGTGTTTTATTGTTTGTTTTCCACGCACCTCTGTTGTTATGAGTAGTTTATGATATGTATATAATCAAAACGTTTATTCTGGTTATGTTAAGATGTATAACTTTTTCATTACTGTTACAATTTTTATACCTTTTCCATTCATAAGCTCATTTTTATCCAATTGATTGGCATTTTTTTTTAAGTTATTGACCTTTGTATTTATATCATATACTCTACATATATCAAAATACTTCTTCAGAATAATGATTATGATAAGTTTATGATATGTATATGACATGTTATATACTGAACAAAAATTCAAATACACAATTGTGGTTAGACAAATATACTATGTAAAAAAACATATATTGAATAAAAATTGACTACAAACGCAATATACTGGACCATAATTCAAACATTACAATTGTGGTTAGATAAAAATATTATGTAAATAAAAAATATATCAGGTTATATACTGAACCAAAATTCAAACATAACATCACAATTATAGTTAGAAAAAAAATGTTATGTAACCGATCAAAAAAAGAAAAAAAATTTATGTAAATAAATAACGCAGTATATACTGAATTTATACCGACTATAAACATATTATATATTGTCTATTCAAAATACTTGAGAGCTAAAAAACATTATTGAATATAAACGCAATATATAGTTCGTTGTAGATACATTTTTTACGAAAAGCAACATATAGTCGGTGGGAAGATGATGTGACAAAAGCTTCATGTTCCCGCCACACATATTTATTTGGAAGATGATGTAGTTTGAAATTCAAATTCATTCTCTTTCTATTTTGTTGTGAAACAACATCCCATTCTATAGGATATATATATAACCTTACCAAGTTATTATATATAATCATTTTTTTATTTAATCAAAAATTCCCTTAAGCTGGGCAATTTAAGGGGGAGACAATTACATTTCATTCGGTAACTGAAAATACCATAATCTGATGCATTTTTACTATTAATTGACATGAAATTTGTAAAGATACAAATAAAGTTTGCGCCATCATAAAATCCTCCCTATATATTATTCCCGAATGCGCTGAGTCTACGTGGCTGCTTCTGGTGCTTCGGAATCCTATTTGGCGAAGAATCATGCTTCGTAATTAGGTTTGGACAAATAATATTGATATATTAATAATTAATAATCTAGGTTCGGACATCCATAAATATTATTTAGCTAACTTAGGTATTTTAATATCACTTTTACTAATATAACCCTTTAACTCATTGTAAGTTTATATAGTGAGACACTAATTGACTAATATATTCCTGACTTTTGATTTGTTTCCTTCAATTAACTATTGATTGTAAATGTATTTTAAAAATTAATAACTTTTGTGTTTTTTATCGGTCATATATAATATATCAAATTAATCATCTTTTGATGATCTTCGATTTGACATCCATATTGTATATATGAAATAAATAAATTATATTTATCTTTATAATAATAATAAATATTAATATTTATTAAAATTCATTAGAAAAATAAAATTATTTCTCAATTGATATATTTATGTTTAATGTAGTTATATGTCGTAAGTTAAATAAATTATTATAATATAACAAATGTAAATCGCACAAATAAAATAATGTCATAGTAAATATATAATTAATATATACCTTTTTATAAAAGGTATTGAAATTTTCAATTACTTTTGCTCATTAATCTTAGATTTTTAAGAAAAAAATAGCAGAGCACCCGTGTAACACACGGGCGTTGTACTAGTTATAATTATTTCCAAATCACACTTTACAAATTAGCCATTAAAGTTTGGTAGAGCTTGTAATGGATCATCACAATAAGAAAGATCATAAAATGAAAACAAGTAAACAACTATTCAATAAAATCAAACATTACACAAAATTTGGGAGCACAAATCCTGAAATGGTTTCATATATGCTCCAAAATAATTGAAAAAAAAAATAACAATGAATTTTAATTGACAACCATATCCCTTTTTTCAAGAAACCAATTCACATAGTTAATTATTCCTAGTAGGAGAAAACGGAACTCAATTCCGAGTTTGGACGAGCTCAAACGAGCCCAAAACGTGAAACCGAGCAAGCTGCCCAACCAGGCGCGCGCCGCTAGGGTTGTAAACGAATCGAATCAAAGCGAATACTCAAAGATTCGATTCGATTCGTTTAAAATATTCGAAGATTCGATTCGTGATTCGATTCGATAACGAATTCATTTTTTGATTCGTATTCGATTCGTTTAGAATATTCGAACATATTCGATTCGATTCGAAATTCGTTTTCAAAAAAATATTATAATTAAAAAATATTATAATTACAAAAATAAATTTTATTTTTCATATATTTTTAGAAAATTTTGTTAATTTATGATGTTTTTATTTTTATGTCATAAAAATATTAGGAATATAACTATATATATACATACACATATATTATAAACAAAATGTATATTATATATAATTTGTATAAAAATATTATAATTACAAAAATAAATTTTATTTTTCATATATTTTTAGAAAAAAT